GACATGAAATCAGCCATGCTACAGAAAGAGACAAAAGTACTTCCTTCTCCTAAATACTGGCACAACATGCAACAGGTGAGTGAAATCAGGAATTAGCAGGATGTCCCAACACAAGCAGAAACTCTAAAGCCACAAGTTTCCAGCAGGATTTTCCCCACCATGTATCAGTAAACCACAATGAAGGAAATTCCCTTTATTTGCCAGAACAGGCTACACAAAATAGGAAACAAGATCTGTAAGGCAAGGCTGCCTTACCTCTAGCCACTGGGCCACAAAGTGTCTGTCAGCAATTGTACCTTATATCAATTATTCTGGCAATAATCCACCCACCCCTTACCATCTTCCTGCCAGAAATCACCCACGTCCCAAGAGCAGGCAGCCATTGAATCACAGAAAGGTTTGGGCTGGAAGAGACCTTTGAAAGGACACCTTCCACTGTCCCAGGTGGCTCCAAACCCCATCCAGCCTGGCCTTGGACACTTCAGGAATCCAGGGGCACCCCCAGCCTCATCGTAAAAAATTTCTAATCTGAATCTCCCCTCTTTAGTTTCAGATCTTAGAGATTCAGTCTTACTTAAGGTGAGGAAAAGAAGATAAATATAACTTTTTCATGTAACAAAATACAAATGACAGTATTACAAATAACACCCAACAGCTCTCAATTTTTATGCTGTAATTCCATAAACTGGGAGGAGTACAGGAAATAAAACAAAGTAATTATTAATTTACTAAGCAAGATCAAAAGAAGAGATTTCAAGAAGATGTGAAATGATGACAGCATATTCCAATTACTACCAGAAATTACCTGGCTTAGGTGGTGCATGAACAGCTTTAGCTGAATGTGATGGCTCTGCAGGGACTGGGGTGTCCTTGTCTGCACAGATCTGAACAGAATCCGATTCCACCTTCTGCACATTCCCCTCTTCTTTTGTTTCTCCTGAGTCCTTGTCTTCATTCTCCACCCTCTCAGCCTGATCCACAGCCAAGGGAATCAGGTCAGACTGACTGACCTGGGACTCGCTTTTGTGTGGAAAATCACACGTGGCCACATCCTCTACATGGGAATCCATCGGCTCTTCTGTCAATAATTAAAACCTGCATGAGTGAATTTCTCTCTGTACAACCACAGCTCGCACTTTCCACAAATAAAATTAATACTAAATTAACTAGTTTCCAATTTTACAAGTGTTTTCCCACAGATAAAGTGACCAGTGCAACAGTCTGAACACAAAGTTTCCTTTATGATCCCAAACTACGAACATCAATTCATTTATGAGAACAGTTTTATTTTCTCCACTAAAACTGGTCAACTATTTCAAATAAATAACAAATAAACTATTTCAAACAAGTAACAACAAACAAACCCAGCATACCACACATACAAAAGAGGCAGATTATAATGATTCAGAACCAATACAAGTTTCACCACCACAAAGAATTGCTGGGTTTGGTGCTGGATAAATGGAGGGTGACTGGAAAAACCCTCTTTGCTCTTCCTTTTCTCTGCCACCAGCTGCTGTAGTTAGTCCTCTCAATATTATCAGTTTCATGATAGAAGTAAAAACAGCATCTAATTCTCTACAGCACCCAGCTAGAAAGTGAGGACATGCCCAGGAAAATAAGCTGGTCTATGGAAAAAGAAAGGAAATATTTTCTTCAATAACCCCAGCCACCTGAACAATTTGGTTTCTGGGCTACTGAAGTGCTCAAAACAGCCCAGCCAGGGGTCTACACACAGAATTCAAAGCCCATTTGCCATCTGACCACTCAAGCAGGTATTTAAATTCTCCTTGGTTTTCAAACATTCAGTGTTTCTTACCTTCACTCGCTACTTTCGAAACATCTCCTTTGGAAATAAATTTCAACATTTTCTTCAGAACCTTTTTGTGGGACTTGGAGGCCTGAAAATGCAAAGCCCGGCACCTAAAAAAGAACAAGAAGAACATTTCTTTTGTGAAAGATTGTTTCAGGAAAAAAAAAAAGGTTAAGGAATCACTTACAAGAATTACATTGTAATCTCTATTTATTTCTTAAGTTTCCCTATATTGAGTGGTCAAATGTTTTATCAACACTTTTGAGATAATGAAATTACGTTGTCTTCCACTGAACAATATCAGTCCTTATGGCATGTTTTTTTTATGTGTGTATCTAGAATTACTAAAACACAAATGTAAGCCTCTCTTATTCGGGCTGCTAAAGCAGTGTTTGTGGGTTACAGACAAGGTTATTTCCTTACAGGAAAACATCCCAGAGCTGCTGATGTCCCTATGCACAAACCCAAGAGCATACATTTACTGTTCATATTATCATTAACAGTAGATCAACTTCTCAAGTATGATGTATTTCAAGCAGCAAACACAAATGGTGGAACATATTTGAATTGGTCAAATCCTTTACAAAAGTGTACTTTGAGTTTCTTACCTTATTGTGTATTGAGGACAACATGTTTGATTCATGATAGGTTTGTAGACATATTTTCCACTTCTGAAAAGAGTAATGAATATGCAATGATTTTTTTGGTGCTTATACTACAAAATAAATGAAGAAGCTTTTTCATAAAAATCACATCCAAACATTTCATGACGAAAAGCTAAAGAGCAAGCTCTTCAGTTCTTTGATGACCGTATTATCCTGCTAAAATCACTGAATATTTTCCTGTTTGACAGTATCATGTTACAAAAGTCACAGAGCACTGGACAAATAGTTTAATTACTCACGGATATATAACTGTTTCTTTAGATCTAAACTTTAAATGTGGATTGTAGCTTTAATCTCAACTGACAACATGGCTTTGTATTTTCTTTTTCAATGTACCTTCTCCATCCTCTGTCTATGAGATCCTGGTAATCTTGAACAGTCATCGAATGTGCCCACATACCTGAAATAAATAACAAAGCAGCACACTTGACTGATCATGGTTTGGCTGTAAAATACAACAAACTGCAGCACTGGCTGGAGCCCCTGTGCTCTGGGACAGGCTGGGGATGCTCACCTGGAGAGGAGAAGGCTCCAGGGAGAGCTCAGAGCCCTGCCAGGGCCTAAAGGGGCTCCAGGAGAGGGACTGGGGACAAGGGATGGAGGGACAGGGCACAGGGAATGGCTCCCACTGCCAGAGGGCAGGGCTGGATGGGAGATTGGGAATTAGGAATTCCTGGCTGTGAGGGTGGCAGGCCTGGCACAGGGTGCCCAGAGCAGCTGGGGCTGCCCCTGGATCCCTGGAGTGCCCAAGGCCAGGCTGGACAGGGCTGGGAGCACCTGGGACAGTGGAAGGTGTCCCTGCCCATGGCTGGGGTGGCACTGGGTGGGATTTAAGGTCCCTCTCAACCCAGACCAATCTGTGATTCTGTGGTTACTGCAAATCTGAGTAGCTAATGACCACTTATGCATAGATGCCTTTCAGGGATCTAACACGTTCTTAAATACGGTAATTACTGATTTCAATAACAACATTAAATGTAAAAACCCTAAGCCAAACACAAACCTTGGGATGCAATTAACCATATTTCTCTGGCCACACCAGCGCTAAGTTCCCCTCTGCACCTCCCACTCCCCAGAAATATACAAGGAAAACAACACGGAATCGCTGCTCGGTTCTGTCACACTCATTGGGGAGCACCGGGCCACAGGAGCCGTTCCGAGCTCCCGGCTGGGGGGCCGGGGGCTGCTGCCGAGCCGCCGCCTCTCCCGGTCGCCCTCCCCGGCTCCGCGCCCGCCGCTTCTCGGCCAGCCCGGGGCGGCCCCGCTCCCAGCCCGCCCCGCCCGCACCGTGCGAGAGGTTGCCGGTGTCGCTCCTGCAGTAGCCGCAGCGGTAGCCATCCTCCCCGCCGAAGAACTCGACGATGCTCGGGGAGCCGCCGCCCGCCGCCATCCCCGCCCGCCTCAGGTCAGCGCCCCGGGCCGCCCGGAAGCGGCGCCCGCCGCCATCTTTGCTGCGGGCGGCGCGCGGGCGGCGCGCACAGGAAGCGGCGCCCCCGCCATGTTCCGCTCGGGCAGCGCGGCGGGGCCGGAGAAACCCCGAGCCCCGAACCGGGCCGGCCGCCACCCCCCGGCCCCGCTCACCCGCGGACACCTTGCCCCGCGCCGCGCCGCAGTAGCCGCAGCCGTAGCCCTCCTTCCATCCCTTGTACTCCACCACGGCGGCGGGCATGGCGGCGGCAGCCCCGCGGCGCCCCCGCCCGGCCGCCGCCGGCGCGCCCGGCCCAGCCTCCCCGCGGGCGGATCGGCGAGCAAAGAGCGCTGCGGGATCGGTGAGCGAACGTCGCTCCTCGGCCGTGTGCCCCACACCCTCACGGCCTGCCCAGCGTCTCAGCCCACGAACGCGCTCCAAGAGCCCTGCCGGGGGGATGGATCGCGTGTACCCCCCGACAGCAGGATAAAAGGGTGGGAGATCCTGTGCATTTCCACAGAGCGCTTTCCGAGGATGGAACAAGACTTCCATACAAGTGCTTCTACGAAAATAATGTTCTGGCCCCGTAGAGCCGGCCTGCCCAATGCCCAGAGTACCAAACAAATACAGGAGGTGTTTGGAATAAAGGAAGGGGGAACTGCTATCTGTAACTGAGACCAAATTTCTAAACTCAAACCTTTATTTCCTTTATAGCAAGAACAGCAGGGCTGTAGCAATTCTCCTACAGCACCCAAAATCTTACAGGATAGCAAGATTATCCCAGCAGGGATGTTTAACCTTGTGAATTCCAAGGGAGGAAAGAAGGGACAGTGTTTGCTTTTTACCTTTTCGTCAGGGCCAGTAAACTTTATATGAAATAGCAAACTGAGCCATAATATATAAATAACTCTGTGACAAATCTAAACATCCTCAGGTTGTCCAGAGCAGCTGTGGCTGCCCCTGGGTCCCTCAAAGTGTCCAAGGCCAGGTTGGACAGGGCTGGGAGCACCTGGGACAGTGGAAAGTGTCCCTGCCCATGGCAGGGGTGGCACTGGATGGGATTTAAGGTCCCAACCCATCCCACAGTTCTAAACAAATCAGCTCGTATAAAGCATTGAGATGTAAAAAATAAATTTATTTTTACAACATATACATATAAAATAGTTGTTGAAACAAATGTCCTGAAGTATTTTCTTTAAGGCACCTAAGGGGAAAGAAAAAAAAGAGAAGACAGTAAGACAACATGCATTAGGATCTGGAATTGACCAAACAACTGTGACAGTAAGGAATTCAGTCCTATCACTGGAAGAATTTTATGGAAGCAGAAGGGAAGACAGTCTGGTTCCCTCTACATCCTTCTTCAGACTACTTTATTAACAACATCAGCTGTCAGGAAGTTAAGAAACCAAACAGAAAAGCTAAGCTATGATTCTTTAAAACACTGCATTCTGCGTATAGAGTTCCAAAAAAATAACTCATGGTTTAACTGACCATCAAACTCAAAGGGTTTTTTTCCCAGTTCATCATTGCATACAAGGCTAGATTACATTTTGTTTCGTGAAGAGGGCAAGAACACAGCAATTCCAGATGTTACAGTCACCCTGCCTACAGTTCTTTTGCATTTTTAAGTGACCTGCAGTTTCCCTGAAGTTCTCCCACCTGCATAAGGAACTTATTGAGTTTGATTTGTTAAAAGAACTTACTTGAATAGTTACTCTGTCTCCATATCTTCATCAGTGCTCTGATAAAGAGGGGTAATCATGGCTTCTCTTATCTGAAATGTTTCTATGATCTCCTGGTTAGAGATGACAGCAGTGTGTCAGTCAGCAGAGATGAATTATTTCAATTTAATTACCACCAAGCAAGTAATAGTTTCTGATACTAACACACTATTTCAAATTACTACATTTCTCCTGCACGTTCTGAGTGAGGGACAAAGGAGAAGTAGCATGTGTGCTCAAAACTACTTTTTGTCTAAGATTTATTACAAACAGTGAGGAAATTGCATGGATAACTTTACCTACAGAGACAAATATTGTACATCAGGGAAGAAACAGATCCCATATTTACCCAGGCCTTGTATAAAACAGTGAAGTCAGTGCACAGCTTCAAAGCACTTAAACTGACCAGGCTTCAGCCTGATGGAATCACAACCCAAATTCTCAGTTTTCTTGCAGCTACAAACATCCCTTAGATCTGTGATTGTCCTGGCATCCATGAGGTCAAATGCAGTGTTTCTGTACACAGAACACCTGCCCTCCCCAGCACAGCTCTCAGAGGCTTAAATTAAAAAGAACTGATCCAAAGTATGAAGTGCTCTCCGTGGTACCTTCCATTCTTTCTGGTCCAGACTTATCACCACCTGGTTCCGTGCTCCAGCTCTGCTGTCCTCCTCCCCTCCCTCACTGGGTTTTAATGGCTCTGATCAAAACACAGCATTTTTAGGATTTGTACTTGTAAAGTCAGTTTCCACCAGGAGCACAAAAGCTCCACAAAAATCAAATCAATCCTCCACGTTCCACCCGGTCAGTCTCTATCAGCAGCCTGCACCATGTACTGCTTGAGATATTTCCTTATTCTCATGTCTTAAAAACTTAGGAACTAAGTTTATTCAGAAGGACCTAAATATTTCATTCCTTATGATACCCCACTAAAGTCCTAACCCCACTGATATCCTGTGGGAATGAAAGCCAACCCTGTATGAAGAATGGAGAATTCTTCATTCAACCTTGAATGAAGAATTTCTCTTCCAACTGTTCTGAAGCTGCAGCAGTTCCCAACTCTGGGACAAGAGAGTTAAGAGAGTCCTTACACCCAAAAATACCTTTTTTCAGCCAAGTGTAATAATGTCCATGTACTTATTAGCAAAAATATAACTTGAAAGGTAATAACCTTTGATTTCTATTAACAGAATTAATTTGTATAAATCAGCAAAATGTTTTCTTTCCATACATTGATATTTGAAAAGATTCAATCCTTTCAGCTGCTCATAAGTCTCTTCACACCTTCAATTACATTCACTGCATATCCCCAGTTAAAAATATCCTAAAACTTTGTGAACATGTAACATGTTTTTACAAAAACCAATTAGAGTATTTTCAAGCTATATTTTACCTATTATTGGCAATCCATCTTCATCCAGCTTTATTTTTGCAAGACCATCCTAAACAACATTGGGATTTAAAGTTTTATAACTTAGTTTTCCAGTTAGGATAATGTGCTGAAATTTCATATTTTTACTTACTACATAATCATGAACAGGTACATATACTGATAAAGAATCTTCACTGGAATACCACATAAGAAAAAACTAGTTTAATACAGCACTAATGCATAAAGAAGGCAGCCCATATAGCAACAATGTGTAACTGCTGGATTATAAAAGCTATGCTTTATTAAAACCATTGTTATTCTCTAAATATACTTGAGCTATCCCTTTATAATAACATTTCTATTCAATATGAAATCTGAATTAAGTCAAAATATCCTTGGCAGTTTTCATCTTTTCCAGAATTAATTTTATTTATTAGACAAACTAAGCATAGTTTTGAAGTGTAAATCCATGGATTCAAAAATCCAAATAGTTTTCCACAGCCTCAGTAACTCTTCCATACTCTGTGAGAACTTTTCTACATCTAAAATGTGAGCCAGAATTTTTTTTGATAAATCTATTGACTGCAAAAATATCACTGCTATTTTGTTGGTAAATTGATTGCAGTTCAAAAAAAAAAAGTCAGTGAACTCTGTTTCACTTTTAACTTGATTACCAAAATATCACAGACTGTTTGTAGAAAATAAATTCACATTCCTCGTATTTAAATCCTAACTGTTCAATATCAAAGCCAGAAAAAACCCCAAGTCAGTATTTCCAGGTAATTCTAGTATCTAAAGTGGTGTTTTAAAAAGAAGTCATGCTTACCCTGGTAAGGAAGGACACGTGAAACACATTTTCCACAGTGCGTGCAAACGAGTTCGGATCAATCACAAAATCAAAGAAGGAAATGGGTGTATCAGCTGGGGATGCAAAAATACCTTTGTTCAAACAAACAAACAAACAAAGTATACACAGAGCTAACTGATGTAAATACAAACTTAAGAGAGCCAGTGCACCTTTCAAAAGCTAAAGGGATGTTTGTCAATTTAGTTAAAATCCAGAATTCCCAGCTGCCTGCAAAAACAAATGTTCTATAGAGTATATTATATAGTATATTATTTTCTTCCATCTTTTCCCCCACACAAATCCATATATTTGCCTGCCATCTGAAAGTGGCAGGCTTTAATCAGGGGAGAGGATTTACATGTACTTTGCAGTCAAACAACAGCTGATTAGTGTTCATAAAAAATGCATAGTTGGTATATGTGCTTCACCAAAGATATCTGCTTGCAGACTTAATCTCATTTTGTCTCTGTAGTTTTACCACTCCAAACTGTAGAAGACAGAGAATATTCATTTTCTCTAGTTAATGCTTAATTTAATCATACTTACGATCATTTTCAAAATGAGTTTGCAGTATTCTCAAGATCCTCTCTACTTCTTTTTCTGTAGCTTCTTGATGAGACTCCTCCATTTTTTTTAACTGGGAAAAAGAAGCAGAGATTCACCTCAAATAACTGTTGCTGAATTACCAGAATATGCAAAGAGCCTCTTGAACATGTAACATAAAAGTTGAATTTTTCTCCCTGCATGCAACATAACACATTTATGCAAACATGAGACAGCTTTGAAGAGCATAAGGCTTTAACTCCCATCTTCCAGTATCAATCTGAAAGGCCATGGCTTGTATGTTTGGAGCTCGTGTACAGGTGTACACTTACTTCTCAATAGCTCTGAGGAGCTGGGTTATGCAGTGCTACAGTTGGTGAGTTCAATGAAGATGAGCATTTACAAGCAAGCCACAAACCCTCCAGCTCCTCTTCTTCCCGGTGCAAACTGTAACAAATCCTTTCTAGCACTATTTGATTGAGTAGGCTGCCTTTTAAAAGGCAACAATCAACCATTTGCCTCTATATCCTGGCATTACCACAGCCTCAGCTTCCCTGTAACAACACGGATTACATTTGCAGCTTCAGATGGAAGCCTCTTTCAGTATTCCCAGACTTTTGCTTTTCTGCCAGTGAATGACACTGGCAAGGAATAAGAAAACGGAAAACACAAAAAAAAGTGGTTATGTGAATTAGCTTGCAAATATTAACCACATTTTAGTGCAAATGCCACACCCTGTTAGACACTTTTTAAAGAAAAATGGAAACCACGCTAATGTAAAGAAGTTTCTTTTTTGTTTCCTTTCAAAGCACCAGGCAACATAGCAAGTAAGCTCATAAATTGAAAATCAGTTTGTAAACCCTATTTCTGAACACAAAATTGGTCTGTAAATCCCATTTCCTTCCACTCAGTAAAATACTGCAGTCAAATCAAGAAGCCTAATAATGGAGTGTGAATCCTTTAGTAGAAGCTCAGAAGGAAAGGGGCTGGTGTGTGTCTCCATCTCCAGCTGGATGGCTGTGGAGCCAACAAAGGATTGTTGGCAATAACATCCAAGGAGTGCTGGTAATCACAGACTGTGAGAACCAACAGGATATAGCTGGAGAAAGAGCCATATGAAGGTAGGGCAGCACTTTTCTGGGACAAACATCCTTGCTCTGGCTCCTGGAGATAAGCACAGCACAGCACAAGCATCTGTGGATCATGGATGCTCCCCTCCCCTTAAGGGTGGGATGTCACAAATACTTCACAGTTTATAATTACAAAACCCAAAACAAAAAAAAAAATATTTAGAAGTCATTTTTAGTAACTATACCAGAACAAATGGTTAATAAAGATAACACTTAACAAACCTGAGCAGGCATTGCTCGTTCTGCTTTGCCTCTGCTAGCTTTCTTCTGCCTCTCAATCCGTTGCTTTGGTGCAGGAGGCTCAGACTTGAAAGATCCCATCCTAACCAAAACACAAACAACACATACATGCAAATCTGGTTTACACTGTATGCTTAGGAATCTTTATACTGAGCAGTGGATCTCCCCAGGAAAGTGCAAAGTGATGACTGATACCTAAAGCTTCATCACACTTAGAGATTTCTGCAAAGAACCAGCTCCAAAAGTTGTTCCAGTATGTTGACAGCCTCATACCTTGTCAACGCTCTGTTGTGACTTCAGTTTAACTCAATTCAAGGCAGGGCATCAAAGACAAGAATCAACCAAGGCCATTACCTTGAGCTACAGTACACACTATTTCCTTGAAGAAACTTACACGTAGTGAAAAGCAGGAAGAAACTTACATGTAGTGAAAAGTAGGTGCTCTTCTGAAGTACTTGGGTGCTTCTTCTCCCATTGTCTGCCAGGCATCACTAGGTAAAAAACCACCTGGAACATCCTCAGAGTCATCATTTTCTTCCACTTCTGTGCGATTTATACCCATGAAGGTCAGCTGCAAAAGAAAAAAAGCTGCAATAAAAAATTATTTAAGAGGTAAAGCAGTAGATGAAACATTCATTTTGAAACACTGCATTGTGGTGTTTGCCTGATAAATTAGTATTTAATACCACTGCCAAAGAATTTTAGCTTTCCTGAGGATACCATGAAAACAGATAAACCCTCAAATTCACCCGTGTTCAGCAACCAATGAAAGCCATAGATACCAAAACTGCTTAGATTCCAACACATTTTCAGTGATGTATGAAGTAGCAGAACATTTCTTACATTGCACTTCAGAGCTCAGATATCTCAGAGTTTTTCAACACCACACACTCACAGGAAGCCCAGCTCACAGAACTTATCTGGCCTATCCCTGCATCCACCAGTCCATACTAACCCAGGAAAATTTTAAATTGAACTTTATGTTTTTTACAGACTTAAGCAAACACTCAATACTCCTCATTGATCTGCTGTAACACAAGGGAGCATTTTCAAGGAGCAAAGAAGCCAACAGCCTGCTTAAAAGCTGTTCTGATCCAACTCTTCCCCCCAGTACAAAGGGACAAACTGTCCAGTCTGAAAGCATTCAAGTGTCCCAAAGTCCCATTTCATGTCAGTGACACAGGGCCTCAAGAACTCAATCCAAAAACACAGAACTCAGTAGACAGGATAAAGAAACTACTTAGCTACTGAGAAACTACAGAAGAGTGACTGAAAAAAGAGCAGAAGACTCTAAGAGCACAAACTGACTGAACTGTGATAAAGCAGCAGCAGTGCAATAATGGGGGAGGTGTCTGCATTTTAAGTCAGATTTTCCCCCAGTGCAAGTGCTTAATATGTAGTTCAAGACAATTAACAGTCACCAGAAAGTTTATCAAAGAAATTCATAGGAAGAGCATTAAATTCCACCAGAACTGCCATGTACTGGCTGACAATTTGAGGCTTTATGGTTCTGTAACAAACAGGGCAAACCTCCAGCACAAATGTTGGCAAATTCAGAGCCTGGAACGTACCAAGTCTTCTGCAAATGCTGTTGAATCAAATGCTGACATCTCTGAGTGTAACTCATTGGCCTTCTCCTTTCCTATATTGGATGCTATAACAAGGAACTGGGCATCCAGTGCAGCCTCTCGTGCCCGGCAAACTGTTACAGGAAAGATTTTCTGGTGATTAATATGAAATTGTCACAAATAGAATTATCAGATTCAGCACATATCCTGGCTTTAGTGCCTTGGAAATCCTTTTTAGTGCCTTGGAAATCCTTTTATTGCAATGACCTCTAACATACATAATCCTCAAAACAATATTTACATTAAAAGAATGACAAACCATGGAAAAGTAACAGTTGATCTTGAACAAATCCATTTTTTATCAACATGTTTTCCATGATTTCAAGTGAAATGAACCCCTCTACACTGATATCTTTTATGTGTATTACTGATATACACTGTTCCAGTGAATCAAAATAAAGCAAGGAGTTATTTTTAAGAGCAAATGAACGGTAATGACATTTATTTCCTCACATCAACTTACTGAACCAATCTTCAGCTTAACATATCTATTTTAAGTTATATAAAAATTCTGATTAAGTACTTGGACCTCACTATTGCCCTCTTTTGTTTGTAAGGCATCATCACCTTACACTTGGCCAAACACATCAATGAAAGACCACAGAATTTCTTTTACCTCCATCAAAAAGTCTATTGGCTTCTTCCAAAGCTTCTGTCAGCCTGTTGCTTTTTGAATTTAGCATGGCTTCTCGATTTTCTGTGGGAAAAGACACAAAGGAAATCCTGAATTACTTAAACATAGAAGCGCTGAGAAACACTGCACTCGTTTGATGCTGACTGGAGGCCAGGTGCCCACCAAAGCTCCATCACTCCTCAACTGGGCCAAGGAGAGAAAAGAGAACAAAAAGCTCATGGGTCTAGATAAGGGAGAGATCACTCACCAGTCACCTCACTGGCAAAACAGGCTCGACTTGGGGAAATTAGTGGTATTTCCGTGAAAGAAACAAACCAGCCCCTGAAACTGTGTGCTTGGTCACTTCTATAAACAGGCTGGATCACCCATAAACTGCACTGTAGCCTCTTGTAAAACAACTGCAGAAATTTACCAAGTATTTACAAAACAACTAATCCCACATGCTGCTGAACTTGGCAGTGCTACTGATACAACCATGGCCACATTTTTGTGAGGAAAACAGCAAGCACAACGCATTCAAATGCACACAGGAGAAGGATTCACACACCTGTCTGGAGAGATGCTAAAAACTACACAGCATTTTTTGGAAGTCTCAAGAATAACTTTGGTCCAGGCACATAATGATACCTGCAGTTCCAAACTAAAGCTCAGACACCATGAAAGTGAAATTAAAGGATTTTGCCACATCTCTAAAGCCGACTGTTCCCCTGCACCAATGCAGGCACCGCATGTGTGTTAGTGCAGCTAAATCCCTCGTACCTCGCTATCCCAAGGGATGCAGGACAGGGACTTTGCACAGGACAGGGGAGAATGGCCTCACACTGGAGGACATTTAGATACAGGAAGAAATTATTTCCTGTGCCCTGGCACAGGGTGCCCAGAGAAACTGTGGCTGCCCCTGGATCCTTGGAAATGTCCAAAGGCAGGCTGGACAGGGCTTGGAGCAGCCTGGGACAGTGGAAGGTGTCCCTGCCACGGCTGAACGAGAATACCCGTAAGGTCCCTTCCAGCCGATCCATGATTTGCGATTCCATGCTTCCTTGGGAGTCGAATTTCGATCTAAGTCCAAACCCAGAGCATCGTTAGCCCGAGAAACCCGGAGTTGCCAGGAACGCTCCCACGTTTCCCAGGAGCGGCCGCCAGCCCCGGAGGCCCCCGCGGCCGCCAGCCCGGATCCTCCACCCGCAGCCCCGGCGCTCTCCCCGCTGCCTCCTTACGCTGCACGGTGGAGATGAGCTCCCGATACTGGCTCCGGATCATCCTGTTGTGCTCCCTGTCGTCGCCCTCGCCGATGTTCAGCTGCCGGAGCCTCTCGCCCGCCGCCTCCGCCTCCGCCGTGTCCTCCTGCGCGTGTGGCAGGCGCGAGCGGCGGCGGCGCGAGGCCGGCGAGGACTCGCCGCTGTTGCCGGCGTGCGACATGGCGGCCGCGGCGGCTGTCACCCAGAACCGCGGGATGCGGCCGGGACGACCCCGCCTGGCGGGTCTGCCGGGCTTCCCGGGATGCACGCACCGAGTCGAGCCTGCGCAGTTCGCCTCAGAGGATCTTGGTGGAGGGGTCTGCGGGCACAGCCGGTGGTCGCTGAGCCGCTGCGCTCTGATCGCGATCTTCCATGACTGGCGCTCTTTGCCGCCCCGGTTCTGCGCGGTCTGATCCACGGCAAACAGGGTGTGGCGTTTCTGACTCGCCCCAGAGGAGGTTACCGATCTCTCAGCGTTCCTTTGCCATTTACTTCCTACGTTGGAGTTCCGGTCGCTGCCCGGGGCCGGGCGCTGTGAGCGGCGGCGGGCGGTGCGAGAAGCCCGGCGCGGGCGGGGCCATTGAGGCCGCTCCGCTGCGGGCGCGGCTCCGCCGCCGCCTCGTGGGGGCGCTGCGGGCGCGGAGAGCCGCGGGCCGTGAGGGGGGAGGCGGAGCCAGCCAACATCTGAGGGGAGCGCGGGGAAGCGACAGGGAAAGCGCCTCTGATACGGGGATGGGCCCGTGGAAGCGCCTGCGCTAGTCACTGGGCAGGGATCTGTGCTCTGACAAATGAGATAAATTATAGGGCCATAGAATGGTTTGGGTTGGAAGGGACTTTAAGGACCATCTAGGTGGAATCGTGGAATGATCAGGGTTGGAAGCAACCTTCACGATCATCCAGTCCAACTGCCCACCCACTGTCACTGTAAACCCTAAAGCACCTCACCCAGCTCCTGAACACCTGTAGGGGTGGTGAGTCCACCACCTCCCTGGGAACCTATTCCTAATGCCTAACTACCTAAACAGTGAAAACAAATTTTCTGATACCTAATCAGAATGTCCCCTGTCGCAGCTTAAAGACATTTCCTGTGTTCATCTCACTGCAGGCCCAGCACAGACCGGTCCCGCCTCGCTGCACCCTCCTCTGGGTCAGCGATGAGGACAGCGATGAAGGCCCCCAGAGCATCCTTTTCTTGAGCCTGAAAACCCCCAGCTCCCTCAGCCGTTCCTCAGAAGAGCTCTCCCTGAACACCTGCAGGGGTGGTGAGTCCACCACCTCCCTGGGAACCTATTCCTAATGCCTAACTACCTAAACAGTGGAAACAAATTTTCTGATACCTAATCAGAATGTCCCCTGTCGCAGCTTAAAGACATTTCCTGTGTTCATCTCACTGCAGGCCCAGCACAGACCGGTCCCGCCTCGCTGCACCCTCCTCTGGGTCAGCGATGAGGACAGCGATGAAGGCCCCCAGAGCATCCTTTTCTTGAGCCTGAAAACCCCCAGCTCCCTCAGCCGTTCCTCAGAAGAGCTCTCTGGAAACTCTCCAGCACCTCCATGTCCTTTCTATAGTGAAAGGCCCAACACTCAATGTACCACTTGGGATGCGGCCTCACCAGTGCTGAGAGCAGGGGGATCATCACTTTCCTGATCCTGCCGGTCCCTGCAAAATACAAATCATAACACTTAGCCCTTCATTGTTGATTGATACTATTATGTTGTTCTAATTATTGTGGTGAGAGTTTTAAAGTATTTTTGGGAGTATTTTCTTAAATGTCTTCATAGATCAGCACTCAGTACATAGACATGGATCTACTTCAGTTTGCCCAAACAAGTACTTCAGACTGCAGATTACAGACTGCAACTATGCACAAGCTACCTTTTAAAATACATGTTTAAAACATGTAACACTTCAGTTGAACACTAATAAATTATATTTGAGCTCTTGAACTGTTTTCCATTCTTTGTGTGACTTGTAGAGTGCTGTCAAATTAGCATTGCAAATTCAATATGAGTAATTTGCTTTTGGATGCTGACACAGAAAGGCTCAAGAGAGGATCCAAACAAGACTGGGGCCCATTGTACACTGCAGTACACAAACACATGGTAAAAATATTCAGGATGCAAGTACAGGCTTTGCAAATGTGAATTACATTTTTTTACTGTCATCTCACTATGCTTAATAGGAACTCAACATTACACAATATTGCAAGACATTACCCTGCGTTTTTGTTTTGATTTCTGCTTGTCCAGATGATCAGATCTCTGCTTTCCTAGCTATTATTGTGTATCTGTCAATTGTTACTGTCAACAATGAAAATGGTGAGTGAAAAAAATGTCCTGCATGCAGCTGACTGCAAGATCTTCAGTTGTCTTTACACACCAAGACTATTTTTTGTCTGAAGTTCATTCAGTTCTCATCCATGCATAAAACCTTATTCTCATTGAAGTGAGAAGAGTCACATAGAGGAATCCTAAAATAAATATTTCAGATCTAACAGGAGAGTTTCACTGTGTGCAGATTTCACCATTCCCTCTTTTGCTCCTCTCAGGGTGCAGAAATAAATGTAGAGTTTCTGGCATTTAGCAGCAGATGTCCAACTGAATTCCTAACGTTATACAATTTATATATACCATGATCATACAGGTACTGTATTTCAGCAAGCAAAGGTCAGTTTCCATTGTTACCAAATACAGAGCAATAATGTGTTTGGTTTTTTTGGTTTGTTGGGTTTTTTTTGTTTTTTTTTTTTGGGGTTTTTTTTTTTTTTGTTTGTTTTTTTTTTTTTTTTTTTGGTTTTTTTTTTGTTTTTTTTTTTTTTGTTTTTTTTGGTTTTTTTGGTTTTTGGTTTTTGGGTTTTTGGGTTTTTTTTTTTTTTTTTTTTTTTTTTTTTTTTTTTTTTTTTGTGAGCAGTGAATTACAAGAGGGATTCACAGTGTGCCTCAGCTTGGGAACTGCCCAGCACGAGGGTGCTCTTATGTAGAGCCCCTAAAATGTGAATCTACCACTGTTTCATTTACTATCAAATCTATTCACTTGTCCAGTTCTGGAAATTTGCCTCCTGATGTGAGTATCCCTGATTTGCTAGCAGATGTTCCCAGGCATTAATGGAAAAAGATTTGTCTTTAAATGTGACCTTTTAGTCACTGCCCAGGGGTATTGCTTATTATTTTAAAGCATAAACCTTTTTGCATTTCCCTTGAATACACCAAAATAAATGCTGCTGTTCAGGATGAAGAGATAAAGCAAGAAATTAGTTGTCTAAAAACATGGCAGCACAGGATTGAAAACATCAGAAATAAAACATCTGAGATATTTGGCATTCAGCTGCCAGCTCTGCAAGCAAACACAGATGAGGGGAAACTCTTTTAATGAGTGTAGCTAATTTTTAAAAAATTGTTTTAGTGATGCAGAAGTGTGAATTAGTATATTTGGTTCTTGCAGCAGCTTTTATTTCTGTGTTTACAGACAATCCTGTGGGAGATGAAAATCTGGCACCAGATATTCCCTCAGCAGTGTGGATTAGGTTACAGCCCATCACCATATATATATATATCACCATATATATTGTTCCAGTCTAAGAAAGTATTTTCAGAGACATATGAAAGAACAATTATTAATAGAACTATGAAAAATAAGGTCCCAGTTTGGTGAGATGTCAAGGAAAAAATCCTGTTAGGATCAAACCCTCACTGGCACCAGAAGCCCTTTCTTTTTAAGGACTTGGAAGGTTTCATTAAGTGAGAGATTGACACCAGGTCACTACAACAACAACATGTGGAAGTCATGCTGCTGGAGACCAAAATGCTGAAAACTGTACACTTTTCCCCTACAATCAAACAGCAATGTAGAAAAATAAAATAAGATAAATAAAATAAAATAAAATAAAATAAAATAAAATAAAGTAAAATCTTGCAAGAAGGAGTAGGAAATATATGCATATATCAATGGTGCCTCAGAGTGGAGAATTGCCAGACTGCTGCAGCCTTGGTGGTCCATCCAGCACATCTTGAATGGAGGAATAAACAAATTAAAAGCAAATGCGGAACAATGTCAGATTTTTGCAAAAGCAGAATGCCAATAAGTGTTCTAAAGATTTGTGCACATATTTTGCATAACTGCAATTTGGCAGTTTTGGCAATTTTTTGGACATAGAAATTTTAATATGCTAATAATTTCTGTATTCACAGAAAATTTACAAATTCACTATTTCTTATAGCACTTTCTAGAAATTATCAGCTCTTAGAACTTGCCAATACCGTGCAAACAACTGACTTAAGCATTTCTGGGATAGGTTTAATCCTATCCCAGCAATCATTTCTTCATATCTTGTGCTGGTGTGGATATATTTATATTTATGTGTTTAAAGGCCTGTAACTCACAGCCTATTAGGAAAGCAATGTTTTTTTTTCCTTTTTGGAACAGTGTATTCCAAGGGAGGATTTCCCAAAAGTACCATGGAAGTGAAAATATGCTCTAAGGACATTAAAGGACATTTCTGTGATTGGTGTGGTGTGGTAAAAGCAGGGTGCCCCAGACAAAGGAAATGATTGACATCTGACTCTATTGTTTCAGAATGCTGAACAATTGCTTTATTAAAACTGTATTTTATTACATTATACTCTACTATATTAAAGACACACTATACTACAAAGAATACTAAAGGATATTAAAAGATACTACAGCAAAACCTGTGACTGTCTACCGACAGCTAGGACACAGCTTTGACCCAATAGACTAATTAATATAAACAACTATTACTAGAATCCAATTACCAAACCCCTTCAGGTAAACAATCTTCATAACACATTCGACATGTGCAAAAACAACAGGAGCAGCAAGTAGAGATAAGAATTGTTTTCTCTTTTTCTTTCTGTGCTTCTCCAGGAATAAACCTGGGAGAGACAATGATCTCTCCCTCTGTTCAGAGAATGGGAATGGCACAGTGCAGTTTCCTATTGCAGGGCCATGTGCTTTGGGGGTTTATGGTTGAGACAGCTCTGTGCTGAGGTGGCATGGACTGGTTCCCTGAAAGGCTCACACATCTCATACTCCAACTACTCCAAACCAGTGCTGAAAGCTCCATCTCATCCATGAGGGAAAAGACAAAGCTGCATTCCCTCTCTCCTGCCCTTGTGGGTAAGGGAGAACTGAACACAGGCAAAGGGATGGAGAATGCAATGGGGGCAGAAGACTTCTTTTCCCTTCTCTCCATCCTGACAGGTAATCTGCTAGCATTCCTAGGCTTTCAGTGTTTATCCTGAGCTCCAGCAAGGCACTGTGAATGGAAATATGAACAGCAGGCTGCCTTGCAGTGATTTCCTTAAGGCAGCTGTCACTTTCAGCAGGGCTGTTGTTATTTACATTTGTCACGTGCTAGAATTGATCCATTTTCCCAACCTTTGCTTGCGAGGTCAGGGGAAAGGGACAGCCTGATACTTGGAGGTTACAGTCCTGGAGTAAAAAGCCAGAGGGTAGAATCCCAGTTACATTGGTTTAACATGGAACTTCTCTCCCTGCATTAAAAAATCCATATCTCAACAACAACAACACAGTGCCAACGTGCTGCACCCAGTGCA